CCCCAAAACCCCAAAACCCCAAAACCCCAGCTTCTTAAAATAAAATTGAACTTTAAAACTGGAAATATGATATCCAAAATCCTTTTCTTTCTGATATGCTTAGCTATATTCTTTGTTACACCTATATATTCTCTGTCTAGGAGGTAAGTTAGGCTGGGGAAATATCTTTTACGTACATTTTGTTGCATTCGGATTCGGAGTTGTGATTCCCATAATGCAGCTACTTTTCTCTTACGACTGAACAAATATAGTCTCCAAGTAAGATTAAGTCTGATCCACTCATTAGGTGCATCCAACACAAGAAGAGTATTGAGGGAATGGGATTGTAGAGCAAGATGAAGAATGCGATGATGGAAATACATTGGATGGAGATGGCTGTGACTACCAATGTCATTTAGAACCTGGCTATTCTTACCCTCCTTTACACTGCACAGACAAGTGTGGTGATGGAGTGGTTATCTGTCGTGCAAAAGGTCTTCTTCATTACTGAGATGATGGCAATAATCTCAGCGGTGATGGCTGCAATGGAGCCTGAGGAGTAGAAAAAGGCTGGGTTTGATATGGAGGAGGCCCTACTCGTCCTGATCAGTGCTATGAGCTGTGTGGAGACGGAATCACTTTTAATAAGACTCACGATCCTGACTATTGTGATGATGGAAATACAAATAATGGTGACGGATGAAGCATGGAGTGCAAAATTGAATCAGGGTACACTTGTACTGGAGGAGGGGTTGATCAAAGAGATATATGAACAAAAGAATGCATCCCACAAAATTGAGCTTTGTGAACTGAAAATGAAAAGATATGCCATATATGTAAAGGAGGATACTTTGTTCAAGATGATGGTACTTGTCTCTCAAATTACTATTTTCTCGAATACACTGGTATCTACCAACAACTTGCTCATGCATCTATTGCTCTCTCAATAGTAGCAATACTTACTGCCATTGCTATTGGAATATTCACCAAGAGTGCCCCAGTAGCTGTGTGGATCGTAGTCAATCAGTTCCAGCTGTTCTGAGTGTTGCTCCTGACAAACTCCGAGTTGCCCAAAGATGTGGTTTTGTTCATCAAGCATCACCAAGTGTATTTGTTCGGAATGGAGTTCCTTAGGTTCTCACTCCCATCGCATTTTGGAGCTGGCGGATTCGGCAAACTTCAGCCACACAGAGAACTCAGAAATGTTGGTCTTGAGTACCAGAGTGTTGTTCCGAACAGCTTGGGAATTGTGTTTGCACTTGTTCTGATATGTTTGTTACATGTGATGCTATACATCTGAAAGTCAAAGACTCCTACAAACACAGCTTTATCGAGGATACTCAGCAGGTATCTTGAGGGTATCTTGAGATATTGAACGTTTGGAGTGTACATCAGACTGCTCTTGCAAGCCTCAATGTTTATGGCTTTAGTTGCTACCTCTGAGATTCTGAAGTTTGATACTCCAACTCTCTCATTAGAACTGTCTCTTGTAATTTCATTCATAATGGTATTTCTGATAGCTGTTGTGTATGCTTTCTCGTGGTACATATGACTAAAATCCTCTGGTAATGCTGACAGTGGTGATTACTACAAAAGCGTATTCAATGAACTCTATTCTGGTCTCAAGTCCAGCACCAAATCCAGAGTGTACACTCCGATCTTGCTCACCAGGCGACTCTTCGTAGTACTCTGGACAGTCTCATTGCTAGGCTCTCACACATTCATCATTGTAAAAGGTCTAATATTCGCACAGGTTATATACACACTAACATTCTTGATACTCAGGCCTTACAAAACTGCAGTCAATAACATCATCGAAGCAGTCAATGAAGTAACATTTGGAGTCCTGGCATTTGCAATACTGAGGATAAATTCGAAAGAAGAATGGTCTACTCCAGTGAAGTTTATGTTTGTTGCAACAATGTTGATTAATATACTTGCCACAGTGCTGATTTTGCTAGGTATCCTTGTTCTTATCTTATAGGTTATCTGCTTCTCAGTTTGAAGAATCTTTACTGTTCAAGAGCCCGTTCAGATTCTATAATTCCTCCTAGTCAGCTTACTCCAAAAGTAAGTTGTTAAATTCCATCGATATTATTTTAACTTTTCTTTGCAGTTGAAGCTTCCAAACCATAAATTCTCAAAAATTCCTCATCCAGAGGCCCATTCAGAACGCCTTCCAAAGCAGTTTGGCCCAATAAGTGGAATATTTGAAGAAGAAAAGCAATAGATACATTTTTAAGCTTCGTTATCTCAATAGCACTTCTCTAAACCTATCTTCTTAAATCTTTTGATCAAGTCTTTCCTAAATACATGACTAAAGATATTTTTCTCAAGCCTATATCCCTCCCTAATTCAATCTTGCCCAATAAGATTTCCTAAATAGGGGACTAAACTTCTATTCATCTCAACTAATTTATCCCTCAACATAACAATAGCTACTTAAGCAATTTTCAAATATCTGAAAATTCCTTGGGGTTTTGGGGTTTTGGGGTTTTGGGG